CGTAGCATGACAGCACATCTAAAAAGCCACGGAACTGCCATCTGGATCACGATGCATTTCAACCAAGGTCTTTATATCTGATTGTAGTTTGTGCTCCAAAGAATCACTTATGCAGGGAATAAACACTGTTGGCAGCCAGTAGCAGGTCTTCCTGTATGACAAAGATGTGCAAAATGTTGGCTGACAGTCAGAATAATATTGTTTTATTTGAAAATGATCACTTTTTTTTCCTTCCAATTGAAACCGTCTCTCAGTTCACCTCTGTACCTATTCTAGATATTATATAATACATACAATTCAGGGAATAACAAACAGCAAGTAAAACGGATGGGTGCTGCTCCTTGATTATGCTTAGCAATAGCAATTCACCTTATCAGAGTGCACCTGAATGTGTCATTTTGGTCTGAATAGACTGTGCTAATGGAAAGGCATTCCTTACACTGTGGAACTGCCACCTTTGCACATTTAATTTTTTCAAATGTATTTTGTTTCAATCCTGAGTATGACCGTTAAATCTCAATAAAAGCAGATGCACATTTAAACTCGAACGAAATTAAAGGTAAGCCAACGCGTCCCACGTTCATATGTGATATAAAGACGTCGACTTCTTATTGGCAAGAATGATTTTGCTGCAACAGCAAGCAATTTACCCCCCCAGTACCGTGGTCTTTGTAGTGTTCTGTCCCCTGGCACGCTTGACAGACTCTAAACGTGAGCTTTCTGCGTTGTTTGTGCAAAAAAAAGGATAAATGCTAATGGACCTATCAGCGTGTCTGACAGTGTGTGCGTGCATGCGGCAGGTAAAATCAATAATGCCACTATTACATATGCAAGGCCATAATATCTCTATATCACCCTCACATAATGTAGTAATATTATGTCGAATTTTTAATACAAGCATGCAAATACTGGTGCCTTCTGCTCTTAGCAGGTGATTCAAATTTATTAAAAAAAAAATAACACACATATAGCAATGCTAGTTTATGATTATAAAACCTCAGCGAATCGTTCCTCAGTTAGCCTTAGCCTACTATGTGTCCTGGACTAGATACGCAGGGTATGGGGGGTGCGCTTAATTGTAACGCATGACCTTTCCCATTTAGGGCTATTTTAAGTGAAGACAAAACTGCCTGGAGGAGTGCGAAATTAAATCACGCTACACCTCGCCTTGAACTGCATCGCTTTCAATATCAGATTAAAACACCCCCCATCTCTTTTGTTCCTTAGATGACACTCGAGTCACACTCCTGTCTATCCATTCCGAGAAGGAAATGATCCAGGCCGGACCGGGAAAAGGATCCCAGGATTTCAGAGAGATGTGTTCGCCCCTCGGATATCATATGCAGTGTCTGGCTTCGGTAGCGTTAACATCCAAAGCACATCCCTCGGAAAGCGTCAGACGGTGCATGTCCTTAAATACTTCTCACCTATCAATTTCTGTCAGTGCACATCCAAGTTAGGCATGCAGGTGCCACACAGAATGGTAAACCATCACTAAGCGGCATTATGGCCAGATTGTTATTATTCGTAACTAATTATTAATAACACACCTGATGATGTCTGAATATTTATTTTAAGCTAGTGATACTTAAAGGATTTTTTTTAAAAATCTGGTGGCAAATTAAGCATAGCTAGAACAGAGTATGTTTATTATTTTTTATTTGTAATCTGCCAGTAGTCAGAATTAGTCCAGATGTGCACCTTTTGATTGCTTTTTGTTATGAAAATACCACAGGGTAATTTTGACCAAAGTGGCTTACAGGATTATTTCTGTGAAACAGCTCATTTTATTTCTGTTTTCAGTCGACTTTGAAGGCATCAGCTCTATAGTGCTTGCTTAGTGTAACTGGTACATTCAGGGGGGCAGTGAAGTGAGTGAGAAGCTGAAGAAAAGGCTTCAGAATCTAGACCCTGGTGAAAGGCTGCAAGCCTGTTATTAATATTTACAAGGCATTTTCAGCAATAATGCCTCTGTTTGATGTCAATCTGAAAATAAATTCACCCGCTGAGTCTATAGGAAACACACAACTGTAGGATGAGAAGTTTACAATCTGCTTCAAAGGTAGTTGAAAAAAAAAACATATCAGCGGCCGTTGCCATCGTCCATGATGACGAACCTTGAATGGCAACAGATATCTGCATATAGCTGGTACGAAATGCACCCCTAGTGGAGCTGCTGAGGTACTGCATGAAGAAAAGAGAAATGGGGCAGCAGTCCTCGCGGGACTGCACGCATCGCACAAACAGTCTGTCCTCGCATTCACCAGACCCCAGAAACAAAACCACGCCCTCCGCTTCCTTGACGCCTCTTCGTCGCGAATAACGCTGCAGCATGCAGGGTTTCACTCGCCGCTTCGTTGTTTACGTTCCGTCATCGCCGTCCTCTCATAAGGACGGACAGATACCGACAGCATCGAGAGGATGCCTTTACCCCCCGCTGCCCCCCCCTTCCACTCCGTTGAGCTTGCTGATCTTCATGCATGTTCATGCCTTGACTATGAAGGTGTACTGCTTTTCTTTGGGTTTTTTTTTTTTTGTTCTTCTTGCAGTGACAGTGCAGTGAGGCAATATGAGACCTATGTGCTAATGAGATGACACTGCAGAGGCACAGGAGAACAGACTTAAATGGAAGGGAGGCCAAACCAGGCCAAGCCAAGCTGAGCAAGGCTGAGCCTAGATAACTAGGGTGGAGCAATATAGCACAACCTTGGCTCACCGTATATGGACCTCACTGAAGAAACAGTGTCGATCTTCTAGAAACAATCTAATGACACAGCACACCCAAGAAATTCACCCTGTCAAGAAGCTGAGACTCCAAATATAGTCACTGCAAAGAAATATAAAATATTTTGCGAATTTGAATGTTTTCATACTCTGTCAAAAGTTTGGTATGTAACACTAATGAGATCCATACCAAATCTGAATCCAGACAAAACTTTATTTTTACCTTTAATACCACTTGGTATCTGCCAGAAATAATGGCGTGGTGCAAAGCAGAAGGGAACAAGGGAAGAAACATCACAGGATAAGTGCTATATCAAGCTGTTATGTTCATTTAATAAATCACTTCAGAATGGTTCGTTATGTCCCACGAAAGGCATGCCGTATCTCGGGAATGGATGCCATAAATAAAACAGAACAGGCAACTTCTCCTACACATTTCCAGAGGACATGGAGCATGTGGCAGTGGAAACTAACAGACACAATGCAGTACAGAAAATCCAACAGCAAACAGAATCCTTCTCTTATGCCTTGAAGATCTGAACAATGTGACTACGGCCATTCAGACACAATGAATCTTCCGACACACTAAATCCTTAAGTATCAGTTCCATAAAAAGCTGGGCTAATATCCTTTGAAGCTAACACTGTTCAATGTTTCTCAATAATACTGGTGACCAAGTTGCAAGAGGTAACTATTTATTTCAGCGCCTGGTTTGAATTAATTTGAGGCAGCCATTTTTTCCCACTAGTGTACCAACTCTGTCATCACAAATCAAACTGGAATAAGTATCATGTTTGTATTATGTTTATTGTCAAGATAATTCTGATTCTGACACTTTCTTTGTCTTCCACATGCCTGCAAAATTTAAGGGTGTTTTTCCACCGCACCAGGTACCGTACTTTTGGTACTTCGAGAAAGTAGCAGAAGTACAGTACTTCAAGGTGTTGGTTTTCCACTGGCGTAAAAACTGGTACTGGCGCCGAATGACATCACAGTGTGGGGGGGTATTTGTACTGAATTAGAGTTTCCTGTCTGAAATAACTCTGAATATTGTTAAAAGATTGATCAGCAGCTTAACAGAAACTAGGTGAAGTTTATCAAACGTGTGGAAATGTAAGATGTTACATCGTGCAAGATGTTTGCTTTCACTGTTTTAGTAAAGAATTTTTTTTAAAAAAAAGGCAAAATATGTAGTGGGATTAAAAATCTGAAGTATGGCAAACCCATTTACGAAGTTTAGCACAGAGTGGACATGAGCAGTCTTCTATAGTTACATTACTATAAAGGCCAAGCAGTGACTATAAAAAGGTCAATATGGAGGCTTTGTCAGATAAACGATCAATTTTATGGAACAAGTTAGGTGACTTGTGTAAAATGCTGAAACAGACAACAAAGTGCTGTTCCTCATGCTAACATGGCTGCCTTGTTTAAGCTCAAATGGTACCAAAATGGTGCAGCAATCATCTGTTAGTAACTCTAATGAAGTTGACATTGACATAGATTGCAACCAACTCCCACACTTTCACCCCATCTTTTCTGTTGTCATCAAACCACAACTACTATATTTATCCTGTGTAAATATCCATTATGGTTTTTCCGCGAACCAACCATACTAAGCATTTGAGTGTAAACTGATACTCTGAATAATATGTTAGCAAATAAACATGGGAATTACACATTCCAGCTGACAGACATATTACGTAAAACCTGAATATACGCAATATCCTACACATCCAAGCTTTTCAGAACCGATATAATCTCCTTTATATTGTAGCTATAACTTAGCTATGACATACGAATAAATAATGCAAAAAGTTAAGAAAATCTTTTCCAATCTATACACTATTCAATTAATAGAAACATAATACGTGTTTTAATTTAATATTATAGGCCAGTTTCCGTTTATAATTAGAACAAGCTGAGCGACAATAGGGGAATGCACCGTAATGCTATAATACGATAAAAAAAAAAAACTCACTGAACTCTATATAGTACATTTGAACTGTATTTCTAAGTTCAAGAACAGTAAAAAAAAAAAACAGTTACGTAATGGCGAACTGACAATTTGCAGTATATCCAGTGGCAGAGTTTTTATGTAATTGTGGATTTATTTAACTAAACAGCTTTATGCGCAATAGTCTCCATGGTCCACCTATGCGACGAGACCGAAGTGAGGAAATGTTAAGTCATAGAGGAAGCCTGCGTTTCCAAAAGCGCTAACAATGACAGCAAAATGCAGTGATCTGTGTTTACAGTATATGAAACGGGATACTCACATGCGTGGGTAACCGAGAAGCTGTTGGATGATTCGAGGTTATCTACGTTATAATTCAGATGGAAAGGTTTTTCGGTCACATTTTGGTTGGTGTTGTAGAGCTGAACTGCGAATCTAAAGGCGCTGTGTTCCTGCACCGTTGATCGCATGAAGAGTCCCCCTAGAGAGAGAAAAGATTTTTTTTCCATCTATCTAGAAATTTAAGCTTCCTTCTTTCTCCATTCTAATGCCTACGAAACGATAATATATCTCCATGTTGTTTTGGTGAGCTAACGGAAAACAAACGCAATCAGTCTACCAGCCAAATTTGACCTAAAATCCAGACTTACTCCTGCATACACTTTACATTCAAGTGTTCAAATAATTGAAATTACGACACGCTTCGTCCAATCACCTTTTAATAATGCAGGTATTTTAGAGTCGTGAAAATAAGCCCTAAACACCAAGGGTGATCACTTTTGCGCGTCGTATTCTGTTAATTTAATGTATGCTCTTCTGCATTTAGGTTCTTCACAATTTATTATTAACCTGATTCACATATGGGTTTTATTTGTAGTCCATAAACAAAACAGCTATTATAATTATGAAGGACTGATGATTACACGGATATTCTTCAGCTGCAGTGCTCTACTCTGAATCAAGTTCATCATCTGCCAACTTAACCACTTGGTACTTCTAGTACAAATCAACATTAGTTTATTGTCTAAAAAACTGTCGTGTGAGGATTAATCGAATGTACCACACATGGAAAAAACAAGGAATCTAATCGAGCGATATGTATTAAGAATAAAAAGCAACTTACCTATATTTATCTGGTTAGGGAAGCCGGCCAGAGATGTGCGGAAAAAGCACAATAAGAAAAGCAGCGCACTATGTGCCATTTTCTCCAACCTTTAAATTCAACTCCTAAAAGGAATCTGATAAGGCAAAAGCATGTACACAACCGCGGACTTAAAGGAAATCCTCCAGATTTATGCTCTTCCACTCTGCACCAATTAGGTTCATTGAGGTACAAACCGGGTTGCAGAGCAAATTTTCTGCCACTGGAAAAAAAACAGGGACTTATCCCAAAGATGGTGGTGGCGAGAGTAGCGGATCTGATTGTGAATAAGGCTCTTCCAATTGGGCCAGCAGGGGGATATTGATCAAACTTGATCTGACGTTGAATTAAAGCACCATCTCTCGCATCCCCGGCTGCAAAGCGCAAGTGCCGCGTTTGTCGGTTCTTCGGGGTGATCAATAGAAACACGCTACCCTCACGTGGACTGAGCTTCGGGTTAAAGCTGAAGCGGCTGCGTTACGCACAATCCTGAATTATTTAAAATAAAACCAGCTCAAAGCATATTCTTTTTTATTCATATGTATTTAAGCAATGTTTGCGTCGTAACGGTACGCAGTATCGTTTATTCTAAAGAGCATATATGAAGGTCACATTAACTCATCATAAACGTTTTTTTTAATCTGAAATATAACAGTAATGTTGAACAGTAAAAGTGACGCGCTTGTTTTTTTCCCTCAAATAAACAGCATTTCATTTGTGGCAGTTGCAAGACTTATTGTTGGATCTTCTCTTTGCTACTACAAATGTGCTCGGTTTAAGTAAAAAATTAATTTAATTTATATCTAGTATTTGGAACTTCTTACGTTTTGTCATACACATGAATACATACGATACTTGTAGTTTATGAGTCGTACTTTTATGTCGTGCTGTTTGGATTGGAATTAACGGGAACGTGCATCGCAAGTCCACCACGGACCGGTGATGCGTTATAATGATTCCCGTTTGAAAGGGTCAGCCATTTCACCGATATAGTCATCTCACACCATTTGCCCACATCCTGAGAAAGAATGGAGCGATTGCATTGATCAGCTGGGCTTGTCATCTGAGTCCAACATGTAACCACAGTAACTGGATAGTGGAGTCAGAGTCACTGTAGAGGCAGGACTGAAGATCAAAGAAGAACTTCAGCTTCTACAAAAAGGCTGCAATTCCTAAGCTTAGAATGGTGATACAGAATTACCAAGCGTACACGGAGTCTATCTGCATACTAAACAGCTAAATAAACACACTGCAAAGGTTATCTTTTCCTGGGAGATATGACTCTGTAATGGTTTATTGTCTGTATTCTGGTTTTCTATCATGTTCCTGAGCCATAATTATTTTGCCAAGGTTAGGCTGTTTAGTACAGTATTCATTTGTGCTGTTTGAGGAATGATACAGAAATGCCCCAGAAAGCAATGTTAATTTCAGTTGTCATAATTCAGTTGTAATTGTTTTTGTGATTGAATAAAAGTTATTGACATTTTAGTTGCAGCACATTAGACTCTGCTTAGAGTACCTGTCAGCTTTACCATAACTGCAAGCTACAACGCCTTCGTGTCCCTCAGGGTTAAAAGCACCCAAATCTGGCACAAGGCAGTATTTTAATGAGTTTAATCATTTCATTTAGTGAATCCTAAACTGGATGAGTTATGTTGACTTTAAAGAAGGAAGGAGAGTGACATTACCATGGTAAGCCTTACTGCATATTGGGCATTAATTATACAGGTTGCATCTGTTATATTAAATTAGGTTGATTTGGCCTAAATAGCATATTTGTGACTTCCTGATTTTAAATAGAGCACGTAATGAGCCACTAGGTCATTTCCCAGATACTCTTTCAGATATTTTGTGGCAATTTTACTTTAAGCATTATAGAAAGGAAGTTATACTTAGAAGAGTACAAACAAATGTTGTCTGCGGTATAATCTTTTGACCTTATTTTAATTGCTGGGACACTGCCCATGCAGTGTGGCCAATCAAATACAACAGTGTGATTTCACTGTGGACCCCTTGCTCCATTATTGCTAAGTTAAAGCATTTTGATTAAAACACTTCACTTGTTTCCAGTGTGACTCCCAGGAAGCACGACAGTTTATATTCCATGTTTATGAAAGGATCATGTTGCAATTCTTCATCTGCATAAGACATTGGTACCTTATTATTATAGCAGTGTATTTGAGCAATCAAAAGGAGATCATAGATAGTAAAGTATATGCTTCTGCACTGAAAGCTATAGCAAGTACTAATTTCAATGTAAATACCAATTATGTCTTTATATTGTCACAGAGTGCAAACAAAATCATTTCTTTCTGCAATCTTGCCCTCCTAGGTTCTATAGTTTATTTTCTTTTTTCTTAATCCCTGTTTTAGCTCTGTTAACCAAGCTGAAAAGAGCACATATTTGTAGACATTATATTAGTTGTCATATTAACGTTTTCGACATTGACACTTAAATAAGAATTTTGCATTTAATTGCTTACTAGAGTTACAGTCATTAAATCTCATTCACAAATAGCAGTCTGAAATGGTTTCCTATTTACCGGATGTGGAATTTAATTGCACATTGATGGCTGCAATTTAGAAGAATATCTGAACATTTAATTGGATAATGTCATAATAGAATTTTAAAGATAATTTAATTTGCCTTACAGGCTGTTTTGTGCATGTGAACATTAAAAAATAATCTAAATTCCTAAAATTCTGATGTTTGTTCTTTGTTTTTAAATATAATTACTGTATGCAAACTTGTCTGCTAACTGTGCACTCTGTCTGCCTCATTGTTCATTGTTGCCATTCACGTTATTTCATTATTAGTTCAGGAGATTATATGCTGTGATTCTGTTAATCTGCTACTGGTGGTTTATAACCATGATGGGAGTGAGTGTGTGGGGTTGACGGGAAGCAGTGATTGCTTCTTGTGAATGGCCGTGATTGCTCCTGCAGTCGTCCTCCGGGCCGGTGACCTGGCCACTCCCCCATCATCGGCACCACATGCGTGTGCAGGTTGCATTGCCCCATCAGTAACAGGGCGCTGGTGGCAAATGGACACAGTCATCACTGGGAACAGAATGCGGAGGGCAGATGCAAGCGGCGGTTTTAGCAAAACAGAGCCGATTGTCACTGCGCTTGCTACAGTGCAGCTGCAACAGTGGAAGTGTGACAGTGGTTTTGTCATTTGATGGCACAGCCTTCGTGAGAGGTCTTATCAGGGACCGTGGGAGTGCCAGTCTTGGCAAAATGGGGGGGGGGCTGTAAGCACCAGGTGATCCGTGCTGAGAGGGACTCCCGTAGCTCTCTTAAGGGTTCAACTTGACTAATAAAGTTATGACGGCACATTGACAGGTTGGACCAACACCGCTGTGTCTCTCCCTGTATATGTACAGCAAATCACTGAATCACTGTGGCAAGACCCAGCCAATGAGGTCTTGTTCATAGGCAAAGTTACATGGGAGGGATTGTTAGCGCTATGCGTCCTGGTTGAGCAGGCTACCCCATAGGCTTTGGCATTAGGGAGATGGGTCAGCTATTATTTATAGACTGAGTCATATAGAGGTGGTGAATCGGGAGAAATTCGCACGGTAACAAGCTTCTGTTACGTCAACGCAACTTAGATACTTCTCAATATTCCACAATGAAACCATCAATTCTTATATTCATGTAAACTGTTCACTTTATTCCATTCAAAATCTATTTATTCTGTTCAAAATCTATTTTCCTTCAGGCTAAGGAAAAACTATTTCCAAAAACAGTGATGGCAAGTGCAGAAGCTCGAGCACAGAGATTTTTTTTTGAGTTTAGTAAAGGTTTTGCAGTGTACAATGGAAATACTTTTCCCCCCTAGATTAATGGAGAATAAAGGCCATCTTGATGCAAACTTGATCAATTGTGTGCAAAAATACATCACCCAAGGCTGTGCCAACACTTTAAAAGCTTTCCAGCTTTTTACATGAAAGAATGAATAACTCATGCACAAACAAAGCCAGTTCCAGGCAAGCGTGTCCTGTGGATTGTTGTTCCCCCCGTAATCTCCTGCTCCCCCCTGTTCTCCACACTGAAATGACATGTTACTGCTGGCTGATGCCAGACAAGGTGGGATGGTGTGGCTATGCTTAAAAGGCATTCTATATGTTATATTTCAAAATGGACTTTCTGTGAGAGCTATACACACTCACACAGATAGATAGATAGATAGATAGATAGATAGATAGATAGATAGATAGATATTGTATACACACAGAGTGCTCAGAGAAAGGGGACTCTTGCTTAATTCCGCAGAAATGTTGCAAATTTATTGCCTTCATAACAAAAGTACTGTACTTTGACAAGCAATAGTAATATCTGCATATATCCTCCACATAGACATTTTCTTTTTATTAAGTGTCATAATTTTTTGACGGAATGGTTCAGTTCTGTTCTTGTCATTAATTGCAGTTATAGTCACTGGCTCTCAAAGGGATACAACCACAAATGTTTGGTGTTCTATGTTATTGCAAAGGTGTTACTAATTGAAAAGCACCCAATGAAACTGCTTTTCAGTGAACATTTTAATTCAGAATGGCTCTTTTAGAACTACAGTTTGGGTTTTTGATTTATTTCTATTTGAAATGATTTTTTTACTTAAAACAACTGGTTGTTTTACTTATTCATAAATGAATAAGTAATGATTTTTTAAACATACTAAACATTTCCAGTGTTTTCACTGAATTCACATACAGGGGTTATATATATTATGGCATGCCAAACAGGAAATATTTAATTATCTTTGATATATATGGAATGAAACCCGATATATATGGAATGAATACCGATATTTATACAATGAAACTCGGAATATATGGAATGAAAGCCGATATATATACAATGAAACTCGGAATATATGGAATGAAACCAGATATATATATATATATATAAGGAATGAAACCCGATATATATGGAATGATTGTCGATATATATATACAATGAAACCCGATATATATGGAATGAAACCCGATATATATGGAATGAAACCTGATATATATACAATGAAACTCGCAATATATGGAATGAAAGCTAATGGTATCGCCCTTGGTGGAACGCTGAAAACTGCTTGAAAAGTTGTTTTTTTTTTTAAATTATCTTTGGCGTTTATATGATGAACAATTTCTGTCTTTACACCGAATATCTGTAAAATTTATATTTTGAAGAACTGCTGTTGGTGCGCTAAAAGCTAAGATGATTTTGAATGAAATACATCCACAAACAAAAGACAAAACCAAGAACTGACGTCAATGACCGGACTGGGGAAAACATACTTAATGCAGACAAATACAAAAGACTAATGACTACAACAAGAAACAACTGATCACATGGGGATTACACAAGGGGTTAACGAGGGGGCGTGGCACACGGAAGGAGCGGACGATCGGGGCAGG